ATTGCTAATTCTAAAGTAAAGTAGTTTTTTTTGCAAAGATTTGTACATTTTATTATTATTTTGTTGTCATATGCTACAGTCTTTGAAATGTAATAAATAAGAAGTCCTTCAATTTTTATATCAATAAAAAAATACTTATTTTATACTACTATAAAAAATGTAGATATTGGTAATAGAACTAAAAAAAATTGTTTATATTAAATTAAACGGAGGAATTAGGCAACCAATGTACTGCCTTATTCAATTTTATAGATTCAATTAGCACGTGTAAGCTATATAGGTAGGTTACAATCGTTAGGTTGAAATGTTATCCCATGTGCACGATTGTGAGTACGCAAAAATTTTAATGGCGGTTTCATTATACCTTTGTTAAATACCCGGCACATCCACCAACTTATTGCATGTAACATTCACATACCCATATAATTTCATCATTGGTAATTTTTAAATATATTACCTTATAGTCAGTAATCAAATGTATATTTAAAAATAAAACGACGATTTAGATCAGATCAAAATTATTTTGCAATCGTGTTTATCAAGTGCTTAATTCATTTGTAAGCACTTCATTTATTGCTGCAACTTGTTTATTTACACTTAAATGGTTCCTCAGAATACTTTTGCGCCAAAGAAAAATACTATCTAGTGAAAGAAAACTACTAGGGTAGGTTGAGAGGTTGGCGTCTGAAAGCGAGTGAAAGGAAACTCGAGCGGAACACCGTCTTAAAAAAATACATACAAAAAGGATAAAAAAATAGATACGCATTTTCCCCTATTTCCTAACAATGGCAAAATCAACGACCCATATAAAAAATGATGAACCGAACTCAAAAATAAACATTGGTATTAAAAGCAACTGCTTATAATTGTTTATTTTTGTCGAAAGAACGCTTAGTTGCGGAAATATAAATTCTGCACTTTAAAACTTTATAATTGCTCAACGTGAGTTGATCTATATATTCTTTTTGTGCCCAAATGCAAACATTCCAAAATGCTGGCAGCGCTTGCTGTCGTTAAGTTCATATGTGCCAACCGCCGCTCGCTAACGCATTGATTCATTTTAGTGTTAATTCGCTCGCAAATTTACCACCCACATTTCCTGCAGTTAATATTCCCTATTAGTCTAACTACTATCGCAGACTACGTTTAATATTTGATCAGTGAAATATATAATATTATTACTAATTATGTATAAAGCGTTTCTTCTAACTGAATCAATCAATTTAACTTATGCAAATTATGCAATAAATTTTAGTACTGATTAATTATATGTAACTGATGAATCGATACTATATACAATTATAATTTATTGGTCAAAACTAACAAAAAAATTATATAAAATGAAAGATAAACCTTGACAATAAAAAACAACTCAAAATACAATACAGTTTTAAAATGATATAAAAATAACAGAATATTTCTGATAAATTAAAATAAACAAAATATATCTGGTCAACGAAATTTCGACTTAAGTCCTTCCCGCTATAAAATATTGATAATATTATATAGTATTCATTTAATTTATTTAGAGAAACATTTTCAGACTATATCTGCATATACGAAAGTATATAACAATTTTAATACATTTGTCATTTTAAGGCAGAAATTTTTATTTCATTTTTAATTTCACTTAGTTTATTTCTTATAATAATATGATTTCAAAATACGTAAAATGGTTTTAGGATTGATTTGTATATCAATAATTCATTAGCACTGATTTTCTTCCAAGAAGCCAAAATAATTTAGTGAATTTCAGACCTAATTACTTTCTCTTTATCCATATATGTTTCTTCCAGGTGAGTCTTCTATCCAGATATATGCCAATTTATTTTTGATGATCCTCCTGGTATTTAGAATTACTGTCTGGTTTCCTTCCTCATTGTAGAGCTGACATGAGTTTATTTCATTACGTTGATGCCATTTTTTGAGTGTTCAAACTGATTTAATACACATTGCAAGTTTTGTGATGTAACTTTTGGTTCACTGTCAGATGACATTAATGTTGTGTCAATTGTGAATGTAGTAACAGATATTTTACTTGTTGTCGGGAGAGAATAGGTCAGAGTACGCTCCCTTCTAGTAACCCGAATCTAATTGGAAACGTTGGAACTTTCATCATGCAACTTTTTTTTGAATAGTCGTCAGATTTTATTTTATAATTTGGAAAAATTTCTTAATTTCATAGAGCACATAATCTGTCTAAAGCCTGCGATATATAAAAAAAAGCAATAGAGCAGTATAGTTTTTCTTCGAATGGTGATTATTTTAGAAATCATTTAATATAAAATGCGTATTTTTTTAAATTTATAAACCGATTTTCAAATTTTAAAACGATATTTAAAAATCCGTTTTACGACAAACGATTCAAAAGATTCACTTGTAGACTAACGTTAGAAATTGTAACTTAAAGGAAATGGGGTTTCCGGAAATAATTCTTGCAATCTTGGGACGCATTAAGAGGAAAGTCTCTCTGGAAAATATCGACAGTCAGACGAGATGAAAGTCGATAAGTGAAATACAATTATATATGAGAGAGCAAGAGTAAAATTTACGTCGATCGCATGGATACAGCGGATATCAATTAGTTCCCCCCATTGACACACATAATGCCAACTACCGTTCGAATCGATCGAGTTATTTATTATTTAGTGACGCGGTTTAATTTCCATAATATTTATCCAAACAAGGAATAATATATCCGAATTCGAAAGTGGGATGTCTTAAATATTCATATTTCATGGACATTTCATTGCGGGGGCATCTTCATAAACAAGCCCGGCTCTAATTAATTAAAGCAGCATTAAAAAGTCTATATAGGGATTATAAATTCTAATCCCTAGAAAAGGGGAACCCGAAGAGAAGTAGAAGGCGCGCGCGAGCAGTAGGAAGAATACTTGATTAAAAGTAAGAAGTTGGAAATATTTGTGGAAGTTATTTATTCGAGACTACCCTCCTTCGTGCGAAGGGGTCGCTACACTTTCTTCGTGTTTTTTTTTGTTCATTCTTGTGTCTAAGCTAAGATAGTAGCGGGGCCACCAATCACCAGGGCTTCCTAATTAAAACGAGTCCAATTGATAGATGAGTAACGATTTAGTACAACGTGCATTTGCGTTCGTCTTTTCATTTCGTGGCGCTGTTCTCTCAGCGCCAATTTGACTGGTTTAAGTACGTATATAAATAGGTGCCATCCCCGTATTCGGTTTCTCCACTGACAATATATAGATTAGATGCACTAATGAGATGCAGGAAGGGTAAAGGATTAGCATTAGGTATAGTTTATACTATTTTACTTCGATACGTTGAAACCGAACCGATAGTTGACTATCTCTTAAAGTTAACTTTACTATTATCATATATGCTCTGTTATGTTAAACCACTTAAATAAATACGTCTGTAATATATATATTATTATGTCATTTTGATAAATATATTGCACTTACATGCTATATACCTATTGTATAAAATAAGAGATAATCTGAATTTTAAATTGCTTTTGAATATTGCGACTCACTTGAAATAACCGGCAATTTGGGAAGCGCTAAATTAAACAGTTATTTTTATTATTTTAATGTTGTATGTTTAGCTTAGTTTTTAAAGGTTTACGTTAAGTTGGTAATATTATCCCCAAAACTCTTGATGAAAAAATGGACACCTACTAAATTAATCAAGGTTTTTTCAGGTGAGTTTGCTATCTCTTATTTTATAAACTGTTTACAAAATGGAGAAAGTCTATATATAATTAAGTTTATATTATATTTTAAAATCTAATCTTCTCTATAAGCATGAATATAATGTTATTTTATATATAAATCTATAATAAATGTGACACATAACAAAACAATGCTGCATGTCATTTTCATAAGTATAATTAACTATTTACATGCACATAATTATAGGAATGTAATTATCAGTAATAATAGTGGAAGGGTTTCACTTATATAGTAGGAAACATAAATAAAAAAATTACCTTAATTACAACATTTTGAAGATGCAAAGGCTTTCATAATTTTTAATTCTCATATTGGGCAACAAAGTAACTGCCGATTTTAAATTTGGATGGAAGTATTGTTTCTTTTGAATGACTTCTGTCAATGTTACAATTATATAGTTTTGGCATTTGTCAGCTGTGAACTTTAGATTTCTATCAAATTAAATAGTTTTGTTGTGAGAGTTGTTTGTGTTGGTTAATTTTCGTCATATTTTACTTTATTATTTTTGAAAAGGAAAGAATGCAACACAATCTGTTAAAAGGTTAAGCGATGTGTAATCGAATCTTTTTTAAAAGCTTCCTCAGAAACCATTCAGATGTGTATGGTCGCCAATTGTACAGAGTTGGTAAATCTTAAAGGTGTTGTAGTCCACCATGAAAACGCTAGGCCACATACATAATTAGTAACACACCAATAGCCCTGACTTAGTGCCATTGGATTACCATTTATTCAGAGCCTTAAAAAATTCCTTCAACGATGATAACGCTCTGAAATTACATCTAGTTCAGTTTTTTGCTGATAAAGACCGGAAGTTCTATAAACGTGGATAATGAAGTTGACGGAAAGGTGGAAAAACGTTATTGATTAAAATGGAATATTATTGAATAAAGTTTAAACTTAATTATATAAAAAAAATCATATTTCATTTGTACAAGAAAATCGGCAATTACTTTGTTGTTAACCCAATATATTTATATATGTAATATACAATTCTAGAGTTGAATCAGTAGCTAAACATAATGTTTCTATTGTATTATTGCAATATTTCCCGGACTTTCCATTAAAATCATTAATTATTTCCTATAAACTATGCACAGAACAAAGTTTCTAAAAATTCATATCGACCGAAAGTTCTTAAGTGCTCTCCAGAGAAAAGTCTTCTAGCTCGCTCTTGTTCCCTTTCTCGTTTCCCTGTTCAATTAAGCTTGTGTGCTCTCTTCCCGCCTTTATTAAATTTTAATTAGACATTGCACCATAATTTCGGCATCACCGCTCCAGGCTGCTACTCACCTAAGATTTCCACCGTGTGCGTGATTTCTCTTGGTTCGAGGGTGCCAATTTGGCAGACGTAGTCGCCTGCATCCTGGGGACCGGCCTCCTTGATCTCCAAACTGTATCCGTTCACCAAACTGATCCTAGGATCGGGGGACACCTTCACATTCCCAGCCGATAGGACGGCGATGCCTCTCTTCCATGCCAGCACGTAGTGACCTGCACAGAACAAACGGAAATGAAATAAACGCCCTATACGTGTCGACTGTCATATCAATTTACTACTGGAATTGCTTCATCCGCACCTCCCACACTCACACACAAACATACACATATACATATATACCCATCCCTTACGCCCGAAAAACCCATTTCCCATCTTTTATTTTTCTGTTTTTATATTCTCCATATTTCCGCTAGGATTATGTTTTTCGAGATGTGTGATAGAGATTTTTCATAGCGCCGTATTTCCTCTTAAAATATATAACCGGCAATTTATCATCACACACATGTGGACGAATACATGAGTGTGTATGTGTGTAAGCAAACTAAATTTACTTTTCGTAATTTTCATAAAGCCACGTTTACGCTACAGCGCCCAAAAACGCAACGGTTATGTTTAAGTAGTCTAGAATAATGCACGTACAACAATGCAAGACTTCACTTTCACAACTACTCAATTTAACGCTTCCAGCTTTGCATGAACTTGGCATAAAAAAAGGAAAATATGCTTGACAGTTTCATTTGTAATTTGTGAAATATTCATATATACTATATTAAAATAACATAACTCTACGAAAGAACAGAAAAAATAAGTATATTTACGTTGCATAACAGCGATTATGTCAAAACTACATTTTATATATATTTTATTATAAAAATACATAATGATACTTTCATCTATAATACAGTTGTTTAATTTAGAAAGGTTTACTAATAACATAATAGAAGGTTGCATTAATTGGACCATAGTTTAGTTTGGATCATTATGTAACAATTTAGATCTGTATAGTGCGTTACACCTTATTATAAACAACATTAGTAGAAAATTCCACTTACTTAAATCTTTCTATTTCAAACTACAAAGAGTGGTATTTTTCAACTTAGGAAAATTTCACCTTATAAACAAAAAAATCACCATCTTCAAGAACTGTTTCAAGAAATATTTCATAGTATCTAAATATTTCGTTAAGTTCAAATGTATATAACAACAGTATTATATAAGCTATTGCTTAAGTCAACATATAAAATTATGTAAGTTTGTATCATGAAATATACATACAAGAATCAGTATTTATATTAAAGATTTATAACAGTGTTTCTCAACTTGGAGGGATTTTATGTTATTAAATTATTAACAATGTTCGATATTTTACACCATATGTAGCCACTTTTGAACTACATACTATATACTGGAAACAATAGAAAAAAAAACTTTTTTAAGTTGACCCACAATTAAATAAGATAAATGTGGCGTTCAGAACATTTCTAGGTCAGAAAAAGTTCGTAGGTGTATATAGATATAAAATCATAAATTTCGTGTGTAATTGAAAAATGCTCCCAGTAGGAAATTTAATTGCCCCACGGATTTAGTATGCCGTCTATTTTCAATGTTGGAGAGAATAAAATTAATGATGGTATATATACTGCCATGCATATTCCCCAAAGTGGGAGCGGCGGAACGTTCGAAATCAGCGCCAGAGTCCTGCGAGAGTTACAAGCAATTGCAAACTGGAAATATCTAGAATATCCTGAATAAAATATAGAGTTCCGCTCAGTCGGTAAGTGAGATAATAATCCGATGGTTGAGTCGACCCACTTCTAGCGCACACACTTACACTATACACACATATACACGAACTGCACAATACCTAGGATCGATATAATCCCAACAAATTTTGAGAATAATTTTATCCCATAATACATTATAGTGTACTTATATGTAATGATCAATGAATAAACTTTTTGTAAACATACCAAATCATCATCTGTGGAATTCATATTTTTTTATTATTAATTCAAGTGACTTGGTTTACAATTATAGAAGCAGTATCCTTTTATAATAGATATAAGAGTTCATATAGTTGCATATTGTTGCATTTTTTACACTTTTTTTATTTACTTACTGAATTATATTTGGAAATATATATTTATTATGGTCATATTATATAAGTTCAAATAAATTGTATTGCAAAAAGACAATTAGAAAATAATTATTTATTACTAATTTAGATGGTAACACACGACATTTTATTATATTATGAATGTATATATATTAATCAAAATAAATAAGAACAGCTGATTATTATTGTGTGAAATAATGTAAAAGAAATTCAAATAAATCAACATACAATTTATGATTGTGATAAATCCTTTCAATTTGCCGCAATTCATATTTAATTCAATATAATATTTTGTATGCATTTATATAATAATTTTCTGTAAAAATTGAATACTGTATGCATACAAATGCTTGGAAACAAGCAACTGTGTAGCAATTGTATAGCTACTGAATAGTTCCGTATTCAATTACATCTGTATCCTGTCACGAAATCATTATTCACAAAATTCATACATATATAAATAAAAGTACTAATGATTATATGATGCCATTCATATATTTCACGATTATATGCCCAATAATAACAAAGAAAACTAAAATATTGCTATACACAATACTAAATAAAAGGTAACGCGTTCCAAAATATAGCTACAGATTAAAGATACTGTCATGATAATAATGTTTTATCATTTATTTTTAGACAAGTATATAAAACGAATTAAAAAAAACAGTTGTACTAACAGGACATCAATTGGTTGATTTATTCTTCGCCCAAAGAAAATTATCAACAATTAGATAAAATCTTAAAATTATTTTACTGACAAAATTAAAAGCGATAGTTGCTATCTCACTCGAAACTGGTCAGAGGTTAACTGCTAAGTAGTACACAGAAATTTGCTTACTGCAAGTTTTAAAAAAATTGTTGGAAAACCAGAAAAAAGAGGAACTTTGTCGCTACTTTTTACATCACGATCATGCCCAATAATACTCACACTACTGAAATAACCAACAACTTTCTTGCGCTATCTGGCATCAATGAAATTCGTCCAGCACCTTATTCTACCGACATAACGCCTTGGCTCTTTCCGAAAATAAAAAAAATGAAGTAAAGAGTCTTCAGTACCAATGAAGAGATCATTACTTAAAAATTGTGAAGTTAAAATTTTGAGGAGTGTTTTGAAAGTTGGCTCTACTGACTTAAATTACAAAAGGATGAAAATTAAAAATATTTCAATAAAATTGTTATTATTTTGTTTTTTTTCCAGCCAACTTAGCGAACTTTTGTTAGACCCCACGTATATAATAAATTACGATTAGCATAGAATTACTTTTACATTATTCAATTACATAATATACTTTGGTACCTTCATTTTCTATTAATTTTCAAACAATAAAAACTCTTTATATTTGATGATATCACTTCTGTATTTTGAGGAATTAAATATAAGGTCGTTTTGTTTATATGAAAGAAGATATAAAAACAATAACATAATCATTTATATAAAAATAAGAAAACAAATATTTTTTGTAGGAGTTAGTATATAATTCCCAGCAGTATTCTCATTACTCTTGCTCCTTAAACTGCTGTTCCTAGCAAAAATGTCTTCAATTAATATTAAAACTAATTGACGTCGAAACAAAGAAATGAGTAAAGTAGCAAAAATAATAAAGTTATTCTCCACCGACTAGGCCATTCATGAACTAACAATATGTTCTAGATCTAATTAAAAAAAATTCACGTGCATTGTTCTAAATTATAACTTAAAAAAAGCAAATGAGGGAAACTTCCTCCTTTCATATGCAAGCAAGCAGCGCGCAGACGGATAGAATACACTCGTTATTTCTGGCGCTTCTTTTATTATATATTTTTTGTTTCTTTTTCTCTTTCCGTTCTTTTATTCTTCTTTTTTTTTCGTCGCTTTTGTAGAAGATTTAATGCCCCGGGCTGTAATGTATGTTAAGATTTCATATAAATCAAAGATATCACACGACACCTATATTTCACTTCCGGCGCTAATGAGCAAATGGGAAAACCGTTCTCCGTTGCCCTTTCTGTTTTTCGTTACGTTTGCGCATTTTATCGTCGCTACGTGTGTACATTATTTTCATCTGCGCGAAATAAAACATTAACAAATTAGTAAATGGATAACTCTAAAGCCGAGATAATTGAATAACAGCCGCTTTCGAAAGCTCTTTCTTTGTGTTTAGCTCATAACGCACCCGACACACATCATTGTTGCATATTTTTTACCCATGACGAGACGACACAGCTTTTGCTTATAATTTAATACAGCTTTTTGTATACATATAAATATAGTTAAACGGTTAAATCGACTTTTTTAGTAACGAATATTAATATTAGAACAATATGAACCTGTACATCAAACTTATAATTATATATAATTAATAATTGTACTTATATTTTAACAATTATATTGTTGAGTTTTCAATTTATAAAACAATAATCAGCAACACTTGAATACTTTTAAATATACTACAAATACATAATACATTTTCTTTATTATTATTACGTTAATTTATTGATTTACAATATCACAGTTACAATGTAATTTGCAATTATATGTCGTTAGACCAGAGGTCAAATCTCAATACTGAATCTAACAGAAATCCTTGACCAAGGTCCTTATAGAATTTCAGCCGTTCCCCAATACAATCAGCGATAAGTCATCTCCTGAATGCGTTGTAGTGGTTCACCATAATCCAACCCTTCTGGAAATCTTGTGTTTCTAGGCAGACCTTCTTGGATTAAGACTTAAGCTTAGCCTATCTGTCACACCCAATCTTCATTCCTCACTGCACTGTACTTAAACATCTTCAAAGCTCCTACATTAGCAAATAAATAATATACTATTTGCAATATAGCATATTAATAAAAATATAAACAAAATTACAAATATATATATATATATTTTGATTACCAATGTTGCCAGTTTTTTTTTGTATACTAAATGTTTATTATATTTATAATAGTTTAAAACGATGCATTATGTTACCATGATGACAAAAAATAATAATTTAACAAAGCTATAGTCATAATTTCAACTATTAATTTATTAAAAATGCAATATTATTTTATTTGTATCGGCAATGATTGGTTTCAAATTTATTTAAAAAAAATATATTTTCATTTATTTTA